CCCCAAAACCCCAAAACCCCAAAACCCCAAAACCCCAAATCATTTGATTAATATGGAATAATAAATATGAACGCTGTTTTCTTCCAAAATACTCAGGTGAAGGAGAAAGAAATATTCCAGCCCAGAAAGGACTTGTTAGAAACTATCCTGGAGACACCTCAACATAGTAAGGAGGAGCAAAGGTATGTCCTGATGTATGCCTTCTGGCTTATTGAGAGGTTGATGAGTGACCCTGCGCATTTGGAATCAATCATGGACCTTGCAATAATCTTTAATTCCTTCCTTGACGTTGCTTTTCAACCGTATATAATCAGTAACACCTACGGGCAGGAGCAGATGATTGAGAATAAGGCTGTACAGTATTTTGGTCAAGAAGACTCGTTGAAAATTATATCTATTACTCCAGATCAACTTGCAAGTAATAAGTTATTCCGATCAGCTCAGATTTTGGAAAACAATAATCTCACTCCAAGGGGAAGAAAGAAAGAACAAAATATAAGAGTGGTCAAAAACCTTATACAAAAAGAAAATCTTCTCAAGCTAAACAGCTTGCTTAACTATTGGGACGTGATCTCTATAGTTTTTGGAGAACTTGATACTTGAAGATTTACTTCCTTCAGCTATGCTGGAGCAAAAGACTGGAATGAAAAGGCTATTGGATGGCTTCTCCTTCTAATAACCCAAACTAGCAATATTCTTAGCGTATTTGAGACCTTGTACTCACTTGATTTCATTGAAGAAACTCTATATAATTCTAATAATAGCTATATTAGCTGCTGAAAGCAGCCAATCTTGGAGATCGCCAGAATTGTAAACTCGATTGATTTAGAAATAAGCATCAGAATAGTCAAAGATTTCAATAAGTATAAAATAGACAGTGCTTCACAGAAGGAAAGCTTTAATCAAAACATACTTCAGCAAGAAGCCATATTGTCTTCTCTTGGGAGGGATCAAGAAAGCCCAGATAGCCCAGAATCTTGCAGTACTCAGGAGCATCATGATTCTCATTCAGCAGGATCAAATTCTAATAATATCGAGGAAGAAAAAAATGGTAGTAATGAACATGAATCTAAAGAAGTTACCTCTGAGCAGGAAAATCATTTTAAACAAAATGAGTCATCCCCTGAAATCAACCTTAGAAAATCCCATTATCAATCTGAGTCACCACTAGAAGAAAACAAACAAGACGATAACTGAAGTCTTAATTCTATTAACAGGACAAGAATTACCATAGAGTTATCAAGTGAGGACGAAGTGAATATTCAAAGCCTTGATCAGAGCTCTCAGATTAATCACGAAGAATCCCCTTCTCAGAGCTTTAATTTTATGCCTCAATGACATGCTGATGATGATGAAATTGATAGGTTAAAACTAAAGAACTATGATTCAACTCAAGAAAACTCTCTAGTAAAGCACTTGAAACAAAGGCAAAGGAGACACAAAAATGGCAATCCAAAAGGTTCTCCAACCCAATACCCAACGAGGGTTGCTGCTCAGGAAGACTTCAAACTTCTCACTCATACTCTATCTCCAATGAAGAAGACAAGAATTCTAAAATCTCAGAGCAAGTCAAGAAGAAGCTCTAGACAGAACTCTCGTTCGAACTCTCGAATAGCTACACCTATTGCGAGTAAGAGGCCAAGAAGGTTAACTAAGACTGAAAAGTTTTATAAAAATGCGATGCTCGATGAAATCAGGACGTACATATTTTCTCTCTATCGCTACAAAAGTTTCCAGAAATCTCACCAAAAGAGGATCAAAGAGAAAGCCGGAGTGAAGTCGTTCAAGAAGATCCTCAAAAATGACCAATGAGCAGAATGCCTGAAGGTATTTTTATGTAGAAATAATGACATAGAAACTTGAAGTTAAGAAGGATTTCCTAGCAAACGTCAATCCATACACTTGGTTCACAAAGAAAGATCATTCTACCTGTCATTTGTGACATAATTTGATCTGAAAAGACTGTCTCAGTGAGAGAAGAGCTGTCGTTCCTGTTTATTTATACTTGCAGGGGGATATAAAGCCTAAAGAAGTCTGAAAAAGAGGTTATAAGTTTTTAGAGCAATTCAAATACATCAAAATTACCTCTAAAGATGCTAAGTTTATGAAAAATAGACAGCTTAAAAACTTTATGGCTGCCAGAGATCAATTAAATAGATTGTTTGATCTTCTCAGTGAATATTGATTTGAAGAATTCCTCTCAGAAGTAGATGAGTATAAAAATTTGATCTTAAAGAACTGCTATCTCACAAATTACCAGGTGAGGCTTCTCAGTAGTGGAAAACTAACACCAGTAATAAAATCAACAATCCTTAAAATCCAATCTCACATCCCAGAATGCAAAAATTGCTTCCAAAGACCCAAAAAATGCCCATTTTGAGAAGACGAGACAAAGCTCATCAAGACTTATGATTTAAAAAATTCCAAGCTCTGCTTCAGTTGTCAAAATGTCTTCCATCCGGACTGAATCAAACAGCACGAAGCAATGTGCAACATTAATATCTCTCAGTATTAAATTCAATTATTATTTGAGCACTTGGGGTTTTGGGGTTTTGGGGTTTTGGGGTTTTGGGG